CAGACACACACACCAGACACACAGACACACACACACACACACACACACACACACACACACACACAGACACACACACATACACACACACACACACACACACACAGACACACACACACACACACACACACACACACAGACGCACACAGACGCACAAAACACACAAACACACACACACACACACAACACACACACACACACACACACACACACACACACACACACACACACACACACACACACACAGACACACACACACACACACACACACACACACACACAGACACACACACAGACACACACACAGACACACACACAGGACGCACCCACACACCACACACACACACACACACACACACACACCACACACACACAGACACACACACACACACACACAGTGTGGGTGTGGTATAAGGTTGAGAAGCGGAATAGATGAAACACATAGAGAGGCTCTGAGAGAAGAGGAGGTGGAAGAACATGAGAAGGGAGTAGGGAGAGGGACGGGAGGGGAGGGGTTGAGAGGGGGAGGGGGTTGAGAGGGGAGGGGACGGGAGGGAAGGGGAAGCTAGAAAAGGAAAAGGAATGATATCAGGGCATGAAAGAAGAGCTTGCAGTTAGAGAATGCCGAGGCAGGAGTAACGCTTTTTTAAATGATCGGTCAAGTGAGGGGAGAGTGTTGAACGAACGGTCAAGTGAGGGGTGAGTGTTGAACGAGCGGTCAAGTGAGGGGAGAGTGTTGAACGAGCGGTCAAGTGAGGGGTGAGTGTTGAACGAGCGGTCAAGTGAGGGGAGATTGTTGAACGAGGGGTCAAGTGAGGGGTGAGTGTTGAACGAGCGGTCAAGTGAGGGGAGAGTGTTGAACGAGCGGTCAAGTGAGGGGTGAGTGTTGAACGATCGGTCAAGTGAGGGGAGAGTGTTGAACGAGCGGTCAAGTCAGGAGAGAGTGTTGAACGAGCCGTCAAGTGAGGGGAGAGTGTTGAACGAGCGGTCAAGTCAGGGGAGAGTGTTGAACGAGCGGTCAAATGAGGGGTGAGTGTTGAATGAGCGGTCAAGTGAGGGGAGAGTGTTGAACGAGCGATCAAGTGAGGGGAGAGTGTTGAACGAGCGGTCAAGTGAGGGGAGAGTGTTGAACGAGCGGTCAAGTGAGGGGAGAGTGTTGAACGAGATGTCAAGTGAGGGGTGAGTGTTGAACGAGCGGTCAAGTAAGGGGTGAGTGTTGAACGAGCGGTCAAGTGAGGGGAGAGTGTTGAACGAGCGGTCAAGTGAGGGGAGAGTGTTGAACGAGCGGTAAGGTGAGGGGAGAGTGTTGAACGAGATGTCAAGTGAGGGGTGAGTGTTGAACGAGCGCTCAAGTGAGGGGAGAGTGTTGAACGAGCGGTCAAGTGAGGGGAGAGTGTTGAACGAGCGGTCAAGTGAGGGGAGAGTGTTGAACGAGCGGGCAAGTGAAGGGTGTGTGTTGAACGAGCGGTCAAGTGAGGGGAGAGTGTTGAACGAGCGGTCAAGTGAGAGGTTAGTGTTGAACGAGCGGTCAAGAAAGGTTGAGGTGGAGGGGAAAGTTGAGGTGGTGGGGAAGGTTCGGGTGGTGGGGAAGGTTGAGGTGGTGGGGAAGGTTCGGGTGGCGGGGAAGGTTCGGGTGGTTGGGAAGGTTGAGGTGGTGCGGAAGGTTGAGGTGGTGGGGAAGGTTGAGGTGGTGGCGAAGGTTGAGGTGGTGGGGAAGGTTGAGGTGGTGGGGAAGGTTCGGATGGTGGGGAAGGTTCGGGTGGGTGGGGTAGGTTGAGGTGGTGGGGAAGGTTGAGGTGGTGGGGAAGGTTGAGGTGGTGGGGAAGGTTGAGGTGGTGGGGAAGGTTGAGGTGGTGGGGAAGGTTCGGGTGATGGGGAAGGTTGAGGTGATGGGGAAGGTTGAGGTAGTGGGGAAGGTTGAGGTAGTGGGGAAGCTTGAGATGGTGGGGAAGGTTCGGGTGGTGGGGAAGGTTGAGGAAGTGGGGAAGGTTGAGGTGGTGGGGAAGGTTGAGGTGGTGGGGAAGGTTGAGGTGGTGGGCAGGTTCGGGTGGTGGGGAAGGTTGAGGTAGTGAGGAAGGTTCGGTTGGTGGGGAAGGTTCAGGTGGTGGGGAAGGTTCGGGTGGTGGGGAAAGTTGAGGAAGTGGGGAAGGTTCGGGTTGTGGGAAAAGTTCGGGTGGTGGCAAAGGTTGAGATAGTGGGGAAGGTTGAGGTGGTGGGGCAGGTTCAGGTAGTGGGGAATGTTCGGGTGGTGGGGAAGGTTGAGGTAGTGGGGGAAGGTTCGGTTGGTGGGGAAGGTTCAGGTGGTGGGGAAGGTCCGGGTGGTGGGGAAAGTTGGGGTGGTGGGGAAGATTGAGGTAGTGGGGAGGGTTGAGGTGGTGGGGAAGGTTCGGATGGTGGGGAAGGTTGAGGTGGTGGGGAAGGTTTAGGTGGTGGAGAAGGTTTAGATGGTGGGGAAAGTTCAGGTGGTGGGGAAGGTTTAGGTGGCGGGGAAGGTTTAGGTGGT